TATTTTTAAAAAACAGGGTTTAGAGCAACATTTAACCGTGTTCCTACTTGGTATTTAACATCACCAAACCACCAAGATGGAGCAAACTCAACACATCCGAGGTTTCTGGTCTAACATTAAAGATCACACTGAAGTGGTAGTGAAAAGTCTGCTATGTCCACATTGTTTACTGTAAAGGCTAAACTGGAAAAACAGAAAAAAGCTGGCCATTAAAAAGACATTAAACCTGAAGACATACATTATTATTTAATTAGACGTATCATTTGAAATGATCTTTGCACTGAATCATAAACACATTATAAAAATTTTTTTTAAACACATTTTTTCTGATTAGGATTTTTTCAAACAGTAGTTGTATTTTCACTTTATTATGAGGGACTATTTATATTGGTTTTATCCCAAATGCTAGTGATCTAGCGTTTCAAGGAAGGGTTACCACGGTGATGTAGTGCGATGAAGAGAATTAGTTTATTAATACTGAAAATCCCAAAGTAAAAAAATCCTTGTGATGTTTACCTGCTTCAAATAAATAAACAGTTAAACAACCAACAGGATGGAAACAGATCTATTGATGTTTCTGTAACATATCAGAGAATCATAAATTAATCAGATATTAAAATCTCACACTCATTGCCTCTTTTAGGAATCATATGCTGTTAAAAGCCCTAATGACCCTGATTAGGGAGCTTATCAGAGAATATGAGGAATGTAAAAGAGAATCAGTGATGTTGGCTGAATATCGGCGCACAGACACTAAAGATTTTAAACCCTTCTACAAAAGGTTTTTGATTGTTTCAGGTGTGTATTTGTTTAACTGAAACACAAGTCAAGACAAGTGAAATGATTCACAGGAATGTTTATGAAAATGTCTGAGGGAATGATCGTTGGTCCTGTGGTCCGTGCTGTGCGAGCGGTGCACTGGTGCAGGTTCCAGCTGTGAGGTCTGAGCATCAGTCCTTGTGTTTGCCACAGACCCATCTGAGCTGGGGCTGGTCTCTGAGGTCCATCGCCTCTGAGGAGGAGAACCAGTTGCACTGGCAAGCGTAGGCCCGTAAACCTTTCCTCTTCTTCAGCTTGGCTCGGAGTTTGTGGCGATCCGGCATGTTGTTCCTGCAGACAGAGCCCATATGGCAGCAGTTTAATCATTGCTGAAGAGATGACTCCTGCATTCCCAACCTAAGGACAATTCTTTAACAAACAGCCAATCTATTTCCCATTAAAACAACAATAGAGTTAATCCAAAGTGGTATGTAGTCATTATAACAAGACGGAACTTTTCTTCTGTGTTTTGGAAACAAAACTGGCCATCCGGCTGTAAAGAGAACTTTTAATAACTTAAAAATGCAGTTGTTCACCCAAAAATCGCATTAAAAGTTTAAGATGTTTTCTTATTCTTAATCAGCCTGCAACCGGAAGTAAAACTGGAGTGATTGGTTTTTTTTTCTAAACATTTAGGCATGGTTATAGATGTAAATAAGTGAGTTATCACATAATGGTGTGTTGTACAAATTAAGACACTGCATGATTTAGAGTATTAATGCAATATCAGTCAAAATTATAAAGATGACAAGCTCTCCTGTTTGTATTTTAACACAAGAAGCATTTAAAAAAAAACTCAGTTAAATTATCTATTAAGTTACTTATTTTCTCTAATTATAATACTCAAAAACATCACTCTATTTTAGTCTCAATAAATAAAACTGTTTATAGCAATAAAACAAGTTGAGAGATGTTATCCTCCCAATAGATGGTCATTATTAGCAGTTTTTCTTCAATAGTTCAGTAGTTCTTCATGTACTGTAAGAATAAATAAAGATAAAATAATCCGCATGTCGCTCCTATTAAACAAACCAAAGACAAATACATTTCCTATCCTGTCACTGAGTTGAACAATCCTCTCCCTATTAATATTTAATTCTCTGTGAAGAAGTGCCAATCATTCTTTAATAAGATGCTCGTCAAATGTTTGTTTTTAAAACCTAATGCGTGTTACGGACCTAGTGTCAGGTTTCTGTTTCTGTTATAGTATTCAGCCTTGCTTTACTCTTGGTTTCCAGTGTTAGTGGTTTTATTTTTATTTTGCTGTGATCTTTGTTTTTTTTCCAGTTACTGTCCTAGTCTTGGTTCTGTTATGTTTTCTTTTGAGTGTTTAGTTTTCTTTTCTCCATGTTTTATAGTCCTAGTAATTTAACATTGTGTTGTTATTTCCAGTCTTCCAGGTTTCTGTTTGTTGCTCTCTGCTGCCCTCTTATGTTCTCCTTCTTCCCTAGCTCTTTCCCTCTCTTGTTCTGTGCACACCTGCTCCCACTTTCCTCATTAGCCCCCTCTTTGTCTCTGTCTCCTTTAAAAGCCCTCTCTCTTCAGTTCCCCTTTGCTGGGTCCTCGTCAAACACTGCCAAACTTTGTCAAACTTCTTCCAACTCCGTCTTCCTAAGTCTTCCTCATTGTGACAGTGATTCCCCTGATGTCTCCACGGTTTCTGGTTCGGTTTGACTAGTTTTTATGTTTGATTATTTTGGATTTTTGGACTCCTGATTTCATGCTTGTTTTGACTTCGTTTTCATTATTGGATTTTTGGATAACCTGCCTTTGTTTTCAGTTTCCCTTTTTAATTAAATCTAAAGAAATTCACCTCTGCCTCCCTGCCTCTGCTTTTGGGTCAACACTCCATAACCAACTCCTGACACCTAGTGAATTATTATTATTTTATTTTATTTTTTTAAGCACAAAACTACGACAAAAATCGAACAAAATCAGGAAATAAAACAAAGTGATTGGCAGTAACAAGAGCAGAGACGGAGGACACTGAAATTATAGAAAAACTTGCTCTTTACCAGGTTAAATCTGGGGAGAATGTTACTATGGTGACTCAAATAGAGGTTGAGGAAACTGTTTACGAAACAGAAAAGTCAGAGTTTCCCTTATTTCAGGTTTAGAAACCTGTTCTGTGAAATGGACCCAAAGTGCATCATATGTAATGCATGCACTTTTGGGACCTCTACATCATCAGTAGGATCTTTGTCATCTTCCAATACCTGACATATACAATCAGACAGATGTAATAGTCAGAAAATCTAAAATAAAAAGCATAAAAATTCCCAGTATTTGTCAGATTGTTTAAATGTCAACTCTAGTTTGAAAACTATTAATTTGGGAATTATTTCCTGTTTCAGGCTTTAAAGGGTGGAATGGCGAGTCCAGGCATGTGCCTGAAAAATATATTTTCTCACTATAACACCGACACCTGCCTGGACTGTTGATGAAAGGCAGGCTGAGTCCATTAATTCCTGCTGTTAGGGCCCATTTCTGGACCCACCACCAGCAGCCTCTTCAAAAATCCAAATAAGACTTTTGATGTGAATTTTAGCGGAAGCTTCTTACAGCTGAGTTTCACATGCTGTCCTGCTGCTGCATCGATGGCTGATTGGGTAATTGCTCATTAAGGTGCTCAGTGTAAACATCATTTTTCTTTCTGAAATACAATGTATTGTTTTAAGTCTAAATTAAACCCAAAACATTGCTATTGCTATTTCTCTTTGCCACTTTTTTTGTTATTTTAAATGGAAATAATCTTATTCCATCGGCAAATTGACTTACTTATTTGTTCAAATCAAGGAAAATACATTTATTTTAAGAGAATTTGACTCACTTTGATTTAATTTCTTGAGGTGAACAGATCTAAAAGTTTGAAAAACAGACAGAAATTGCGTGGGAAATCCAGAAGTTCACAACTGTGAGGCTGCTTTTTAACAACCTTTTTTAAATAAAAGATTCCATATTAAAAGAAGCCATACCAGATGAACAGCTCCTTTTTTATTTATTGCTACAGCTTTATGTTTCACAACTGGTGCAGGATTTACATGAACAAAAGGATTTGCTTTTAGATTTTGTGCAATAAATATTTATACTTTTTTTGTTTAGACATTTATTTGTTTTGGATTGTTCAATTTCTACGGTGTTTATTTTATTTTATTTTTTTAGATTAATGGCTGAAAGCAATCACTAGATTAACCATTTATTGAAAATAATTGATGGTTGCAGACCGCACAGGGATGTGACAACCAAACAGTTTTCTTTATGTCTTATGTTAAGGAACCTTTCTCTTTATAAAATCTGGTTGTTTTTAAGCTCTCCCTCCAGTCTGCAGACCTGAAAGCTTTGAAATAAATATCCTTTGATTGCATTAGCATAGCCTCACATTGAATAATTAAGAAATGTATTCAGATGGAAGAATCCATTATTAAAACATTTTAAAAATTAGTTTTTTTAATCAAATCAAACTGAAACTGTCTCTAATACTACTAACAATGTGAATAAGATGGCTATAAATGAGTTTTATCCTTCATCAGCTGAAGACTTCCTGTTGTATTTTAGCAACCAGCCTGGATGAGAACCCATGCTGAAGTCACCATGATGCACGATGAGAATGTACATTGTGGTACATTCCTAAAGAAGTGCAACAAATAGCGTAGCATGTAGCAAGAGCCAAGCCTTTATGACAACAGTTAGGACACTATCTGATTGCCAAATGGTTGAGAAGAAGCAGTTTGTTATGTCCTTAAACTTTCCAAAAGGTTTGACATTTCATAGTTTCTTACTCCAGGTTCTTTTCTCCCCTCATTTTTTTTTTTTTTTTAGCTTTCATTACATTTGGGTTTTATTATACAAACACAAGTGAGTAAAATATATATATTTTACTATTTTTTAATGCTCTTTCTAGTATGTAACAGACAGGAATGTCTAACACAAAAGGTGAAAAATGGGGGGAATGGTTGTCTATGTAAAACGACTCGAAAAATATCAGATGTGCGATTTTACATCAGATGTGTGATTTTCGAAAGATTACTTTTAAAATTATGAAAGCAGCACTGCTTAACTTAGAGCTTATTGTTTGAGTTCCTCATAAAAACAAGAGCAAAATAAACTAAACGTTATCATTGGCCATTAGAACAGATATGACGCGCGCCTGATCAGATTAGTTCTCTGATATAGGATCTAATCTAGAAGGATGAATGTGTCTGTGAATTTTAAAGAAGCGACGGTCTATATTTTCCGATCCAAACGGCAGATCAGCAGATGTCCGATACTGATCCAATACTGCTGTTGAATGAATGAACCTTACAACGTACCCCAGCATGTGAGTAAAGGCTTCATGGTTGACATAAACAATGTTAAAAAAGGTAACAAATGAACACAGATATAAATCATATATAGCTGCTGTGTGTGGTTTGAGGTTTGACATAGATATGACAATCAGCATTTAAATCAGAAAATTGAATTCACTAGATCTCTGTAACCGCATTGCTGCATATCGTCGCTGTCGGACGGAAACCTCGTATGTCCAAAACCATAAAGTTTACAGGAAATTGTAAAAACAGCGACAGCTGAAGAGTCCAATGGAGTAACGAGATTAAGTCCCAACCTTTTTTCAACACTTTTAATTGGTTAATATTTTCCAAAACATACGTTTACACGTGGGGACTGACCAATCATATCAATTTATGAAAAAAAAAGTCCAAAATGGGAGTTACAAGGTTTTTTCCCCAACAGCGACGATATGATATTGATAGAAAAGCTAACGACTGGATCAGAATGTTGAATCGGAGTTATTCATCCGCTATCTGACCCAGCTAATTATAAAATATTGAAGCTGATATCCTTTCCGGATATTACTCATTACTTATATAGAGCGTTATGAAGGAGGAGGCTCAGGGAGGGAATTGGAAAAAAAAAGATTATAATAATAAAATAACATAAAAAAACGTCCAGAAGAGCACATCAGGAAAAACAGCTCTGTCCAAACATGTCCCCATGGCCCACAGCAGGTGATTTGGCACAAGGAAAAATGGAGAAAAATGAACATCTCTGTTGGATAATGCCTCCCTCCCCATGCAGGACACAGTTTCAGCACTGGAGAGCTCCCTTGGTGACCGGCTGCTGCTTCCTATATGTACAAAGGAGTTGTTTACAGAGGTGGTTAGAACAGCCATAACTTCTCCCAGCAAACAAAACAAGATGTTTACATTCCAGCTAGTCTTTGCACAGCTTTCTATTTTCCTGCAAATGCTCCATTTGCATAAATATACAAAAAAGGACAAAGAAAACAGTTC